CACAGCCACCCCAGCGTCAACCTGCTGGGCTCCGGCAATCCTTCCGCCTCAGCCTTCCAAATAGCCGGAACTACAGGCATGCGCTACCATGCCTGGCTAATTTTTTTATTTGTTTATTGTAGAGATGAGGTCTTGCCAAGTTGCTCAGGCTGTTCTCGAACCTCTGGGCTTAGGCAATTCCCTCACCTTGGCCTCCCAAAGTGCTGAGATTACAGTCTTGAGCCACCGTGCCCAGCCTCTACAATAAAGTTTTTAAAAATTAGCCAAGAATGGTGGTGCTCGCCTGTAGTTCCAGCTACTTAGAAGGCTAAGGCAGAAGGATCACCTGAGCCCAGCAGGTCAAGGCTGCGGTGGCCATGAGTGTGCCACTGCACTCCAGCCTGGGTGACAGAGTGAGGCTCCAACTCAAATAATAATAATAATAATAGCTCATTTGTGTGCTCTGTGGCGTTCAAACGGGGGTGAGCAAAAGTTAATTCATACAGACTCCCAAGAGCCAGTTATACGCATCTCCTTCCCACATCTCTTCTCAGCTATGCATTCAGTGACATCACATTGGCAGCTTGAAATCAATCAGCCATGCTGGGAGTATTTACAATACAGAAATTGGCAAGCCATGCCAGCACACACTGCTGAACCCATAGCTAGGGTTCTCTCTTCTTGGACTGTCTCCCCAACGCTATTCTCTGTTCCTCTTCCTTTTTTTTTTTTTTTTTTTTTTCCTTAAGAGATGTATTGGAGTGCAGTGGTGCAATCATAGCTCACTGTCTCCTCGGACTCATGAGCTCAAGCAATCTTCCCGTCTCAGACTCCTGAACAGCTGGGACCACAGGCACATGTCACCATGCCCAACTAATTTTTTAATTTTATTTTTTGTAAAGGTGGAGGTCTCGCTAGATTGCCCAGGCTGGTCTCAAACTCCTTGGGCTCAAGTGATCCTCCCGCCTCAGCCCCACGAAGTGCCGGGATTACAGGAATCGGCTATCGCGCCTGGCCCCGCCTCCAGCCTGGCCCCGCCTCCAACCTGGCCCCGCCTCCTTTTCTTCCTTCTCCCTTCCCTTTTATTCTTCCCTTTATCTTTGTTCTTGTTTTTCACCTTTCTCTCAAGATTTCACTTTGGGTTTTGTTTTGTTTTGTAATATATATCGGTGGCTACTTCTCCACTTGGACCCAAGAGAGTACTTGCTATTCAGGTCCCTGGAGCAAATGGGTTTGCTCAGGCAGAAGCTCCATAACATGTTGTCTAGGCCAAGAAAAGCGTTGGGTGTGTCACCACCAGAGAGTGGGCTCACCCTAGAGCTTTGAGGCCACTGTTGCAAGAACCACATTGTACACACAAGGCGGAACAAGGAAGAGACAGGCTGGTAAAGGCATTGGTTCTCTAGGAAGTGCCAGCTTGACTGCAAGAATGAGACAGGAAAAGGTAAAGAACCACAATTCGGCCAGAAGTGGTGGCCCATTGCCTGTAATCCCAGAGGCCAAGGTGAGAGGATTACCTGAGCCCATGGGTTCGAGACCAGCCTGGGCAACTTGGTGAGACCTCATCTTTACAATACATCAAAAAATGAGTGGAGCATGGTGGCAAATACCTGTAATTCCAGCTACTTGGAAGGCTGTGGCAGAAGGATCACCTGAACCCAGCTGGTTGAGGCTGCAGCAGTAGCCCTGAGCATGCCACTGCACTCCAGCCTGGATGACGGAGTGAGACTCCAACTCAAAAAAAAAAAAACAACCTCGATTTGAGGAATTAGATTTGCGCTGTGAAAATCACAAGCTGAGTGAAATAAAAGAGCTTCCCAGCCCCCAGGTTCTAACTCAAACACTGATACTAGCACCTTCTCAAGATCCTTCTTCCCAGGTAAATTCAGTCTTCTTCCAATTCCAGAATCCTGAGTCTTAATTACCTCCTTCCTCCTGAAGACATTTGCCACCCACCTCCCAAATCCCCCCACCCTCAAGTAATCTCTCACACCAGGAATCAGATAAACCTCAAATGCAACCAGAAATATAAATCATGCATCTACTGACAGATCAGAAACTCCCATCAATTCGGTGTTTTGGGTTGAGATGAACTTAACACTGTAGACTTCATTAATACAAGTGGTTTAAAACCTTATTTTGTTTAAGTAGAAGAAATCCATTTTGTAAATGGAAGCCTCAGTTACGTAAAACAGATTTTTCTAAATGAAACTTTTGCTTGTAGCAAGAGGTTTAGGAGCCTTGGAGACCTGAAGCCCCTCCACTTACTCCCATCCCCACCATGACACACCAATTATTTCCAAAATATCCTTGTGGCTCCCAGAATTTGTCTGAAAATCACAGCCCTAAAACGTTTTCCATGCACTTTTTTTTAAGAGATAGGATCTCACTCTGTCACCCAGGTTGGCACAATCATAGTTCATTGTACCCTCAAACTCCTGGGCTCAACTGATCCTCTTGCCTCAGCCTCCTGAGTAACTGGGACTAAGGTGCATGCCACCATGCCTGACTAATCTGTGTGTTGCTGTAGTTTTTTTAGAGACAAGGTCTTGCTATGTTGCCTAGTCTGGTCTTGAACTCCTGGTCTCAAGTGATTCTCTCACCTCAGCCTCCCAATAGCTACGATTACAGACATAAGACACAGCACCAAGCTAATTTTTTTTCTTGAGTTGAAGTCTTACTCCGTTGCTCAGGCTGGAATGCAATGGTACGCACGCTCATAGCCATCCTAGCATCCACCTGGTGGGCTCCGGCGATCCTTCCACCTCAGCCTTCCAAGTAGCTGGAATTACCACACACAGCTAATTTTTTGTTTATTGTATGGATGAGATCTCACCAAGCTGCCCGGGCTGGTCTCGAACCAGTTAATTTTTAAGTATTTGTTTAGAAACAGAATCTGGCTATATTACCCAAGCTGGTCTTGAACTCCTGAGCTCAAGCGATCCTCCCACCTCAACCTCCTGAGTAGCTGGGATTACAGGCTATTTATTTTTCTTTAAAATAAAACTGCTCAAGCATTAAGTGAATGCGGTTTATTCTTATGGAAATTTTTCAAAAAATTTATAAGTATATAAAGTATGAAAGCTTTTATTCCCTCCCTGAAATCTTCTCCTTAAAGAAAACCCCTTTTAAAGGTCCAAGATATGTCCTTCCAAATCTTTCTGTCTTCCTTTTATAAAGATATACAGATGCATTTTTTAAACAAAATGCGATCATACTCTATATATTATTCTCTATATGATTTTTCCTCCTTGTACAATGACTCATGGGCATCATTCCCAAAGTTTCCACATTATTTTAACAGCAGCAGAGTATTCTATTGTATGGATGGAACATAATTTAGATAACCATTTCTCTGTTGACAGACACTGAAGTCATTCCCAAATTTTTGACATTTCAAGTAGTACTTCACAGAACATCCTTATACATATCTTTTATGCCCAGTTGCAAATATTTCTGTTGGCTGAATTCCAGGAAATGGGAATTGCTAGGTAAAAGCATCATCTATTTTTTTCCAGTTGATTGCTTAAATTCTAAGAAAAAGCTCTCTGAGCCAGCCAGTCTCTAATAGCAAGCCACCAACAGCAACATTTTGCCTTCAACAGGTGGGCACCTGTTCTCCCAAACTAAGGAGAGAACATCATGTAGCATTTGAATTGAGGAGAAAGGGATCATCTTTATTTCCTTTGGTTGATTTTAGAACTATGCTCAAATTGTGACCAAAAATTGTTAACTGCAGTAAAAAGACGTAGTGGTCAGAATTCCATCAAGAGGCCAAGAACATCTAGCTGTATAAAAGTAGAACTTGAACCAGACCTAGCTAGAAACCTGAGAAAAATATCCAGTCCAGGAAAGCTTCCCATGGGAAGACAGAGAATATGTGTTGGGGTTTGTTTTTTCTAGTGAACTATTTTCTCCTGATATGGATTTTAGTTTGGGATCAGAAGTATGCTGGTAAATGTTTAACAACCTACAGAAGGTGAAAAGCCATAATTTGTGACAATGCCAATTTCCATGGTGTAAATACTCCTCCCGTCTTGGCTGATCTCAAGCTACCAACATGATGTTACTGAATGTGGAACTGGAGAGTCAGCTCTTGTGAACCAGTAGAAACCAGCTCCAGCACGCCACTGCTTGGAATTTATTTTTAAAAATAATAAATCTGAGAGGATGGGGCAGTTTAGGTTACCTAGAAAGTGACAGAAAATATGCTTTTAGTTAGCAAGAAAGCAAAAGAATATCTACTCTTTAATGCTTCATCCCTATTTATGGTGTTTCACTCTTACACTGTAGTATGAATTTTCCCAAACCTACAAAGGCATATTTTTAAAACCCAGAGGGATTTGAATGACGAAGAGCAAGGGTTTTAGCATCAGATGGGCCTGGATGAATCCAGGTTCTGCCACTTAATAGCTAAGTGACCTTGGGAAGGTCACTTAACACCTCTGGGTCTCTGTTTTTTTCATCTGTCAAATGGGTTCCTCAGAAAAGTTATTGTAAGGATTAAGCAAGGCAAAGTACAAAGAGCATTTAGCTTAATGTCTGAGAACACAGGTGTTCACTAAATAAGAGCTGTTAAAGATACAAATCTGTATCTTAGACCAGGCCTGATGGATCAACCTGTAATCCCAGCACTTTGGGAGGCCAAGGTGAGTGGATTGCCTGAGTCCACAGGTTCAGGACCAGCCCAGACAACTTGGCGAGACCTCGT